GTAAAACAGAGATAACAAAAGTGCCCACTGCACAAGGCAGGGAAGGCTACAAGAAGCATTCTACACAGAGGACTCCCCAGAGTAGTTTCTATATGGGCTCCATTAGCACCAATTCTACGGTTCTGGGTACCTAACAGAAATCATTCATTTCTCCCTTCCAGTTCTAGGTAAATAAAAATGTGTGGGAGGGGAACCTGGCCCTTGATTACATCTTAGAGTGAAAGCAAGGAATCAGATCTTTATGTGACAGTTCATATATTACTTCCTAGAGTGATCTGCTTCCATGCGAGGGCATGACAATCAATGTTTAGCAGCTTCTGGGAAACCCCAAGCTCCAGCTTTTTCTTCAGAGAAAGAATCTACTCCCTGACTCTTGTAGGTCATGCATAGTGCTTCCTCCTCTGTGACATCAGAGTCCTGTCTGAAGGTGGCAGTGGCACAGGGTGCTGTGGGGTCTGGAGATGGCAACAGGAAAGGCACAGCCTCAACAGGCTCTGCTGAGCCTGGTGCAGCCTCCCTGGTCAGAGCTTGGCTGTTCTTTACAGGCTCCAGCGGTTAGGCATAAGGCCACATCTGTGAAGAAGCGTAACAGCAGGAGTAATACATGGCACTGACAGTGTCCCCCTGCAATCTTGGCCTCCAAGCTGAGCACATCACCCACTGCCTGTGCCCTTCCTGTCCTCGCAAGCTGCCAGCACAAAGGGTTTGGAGACTCCACCAGGCCAGGCTGCCCTTGGAATTCCTTGGGCCTTTCTATAGCCTTTAAAAGTACATTCTAGTTGGGCAAGGTGGCGCATGCCTATAATCCCAGCAGTGGGGAGGCTGAGGCAGGAGGATTGACAAGTGTTTAAGGCCAGCCTGGGCTACATAGTGAAACCCTGCCTCACTAAAACAAAACAAAACACAAACATAAATTATATTTTTTTTCTGCAAAATTTAATCTATTTTGAACTTTCAAAGAACAAGAGAACAGACGATCTCTTTTGTACCGACCACAGGGCAGAGAGGAGGCGAGCCCCACAGGCCTCAAGCTGCCACAGGGGAGCCAGCCCTTGGACCTCATAGGCAAAGGTATTTTTTTATTATTATTATTATTATTTCAAACAAACACAAGCTTTTCCTTAATACGTTTAAAAATTGGAAAGAAAAGAAGACTCAGTCAAACTCAAACCTGCTATGGTTTGCTGAGATAGACTAACATGATGATTAGGAACAAGTGGTAAAATTCTGACAAAACCTCTACACTTCAATTTAAAACAGTTCAACAAATGGCACAGGCTGTGCCATGGTTAGATTTCTGTTCGACACCAAACAATTAACACATACCCCTTGAGAAATGCAGTTTTAAATGACTGCACCTGGGGCTCTCGCCTGCTCTCAACTGCAGGGCTCCACTGCTTGCCTTTGCCGGTCAACAACATGGTGTTACAGCCTCTCAGCCTCTGCGCACAGCCAGTCTCTCCAAAAGGTGGCACAGCCTCAGCAAGCTGATCTTCTCCCTGTGTTTGCATGTTGCCTTCTCCTTCTTTTTGAGACAGAGTCACACTACATAGTTCACAGTGGCCTTGAAATCACTTTGTAGCCCAGGCTGGCCTCAAACTCATGGATAACCTCCTACCTCAGCCTCCCAAGTGCTGGATTACAGGCGTGTACCACCATGCCCCAGCATGAACTCTGCCTTCTTATAGTCAACAGTGCCCCAGGTCTCCTTAGCTAACAGGTGACCTGAGGGCAAAGTTCTTCCACCATACTTTAGTTTCTCAACAGTAAAATGGAGACTGTATCATTTATCTCCCATAAAGTTCAAATAAAGAGTCAAGGAAATAGGTCCATAAACGAGAAAGAAGAGGCCCTCTGTGGATACCGACGTCCCCCATTAGGCCCCCCATGGACCCTTCAGCTGTACCTTCCCAGTGTGCACTAGGACAGGAGCTCTGTGCTGACCCAGACTCCAAAAGAGAGAAACATCACTGGCCCAAACCACCAAGAAAACAATGGGAATGAACCTGCTTAAAGCCTATAACCCTGGAATTAGGTTCCCATTGCTGTGTGCAGAACTGTGACAGACTTGGAGGCCCACACACAGAAGTTCAGTCTCTCAAAGATTCATGGCTCAGAAGTCCAGGCACAGCATCCGTTCTCTGCCAAGGGTCATACAAAGCCAAAACCAGGGGATTCCCCTTCGGGGGATTCAGGTCTCTGTTGTTTGCTGGATGTCCAACAGGGCTGGCTCTGCGTCCAATGTCCTCCGCTCTCCTCTCCTGAGCTGTCTCTCCCTCCACACCAGGAGCCGCATATTGGGCTACTCATTTCTCTTCTGCCACCAGCCAGAGAACACTCTTCACTTTTAAGGGCTCATACAATGGTCTTTTTGGGCACCTCAAGGCAACCACCCTGCCTTAGAGCAATTGCTAAGCTACGAGGACCAACAGTTCGCCACACGCACAGCTCTGGGGCTGCGGGCAGACATCAGGGGGTGCCATTTTGGAAATTCTCCCCATGCCACAAGAAAATGTCTTTATCCATATGAACTATACAACAGGAAATAAACTGGGAAAAATGCCCCCAAAACTCCAAATAGTCATGTATTTATCCAGTGATGAGGAAAATATGGACAGATAAACATTGTAACTCACTGGGATATCAAGACTGTGTAAGAAGGTCTGTACTTAAATTCCATCACTATAACTTGAATTTGTAGTACACACTAGCAACTGTCAAGCCTTACATTCATTTCCTATTTCTTATGACTTCAGTTATTTTATCATCTGAGAATATCATCCCTGCTCTTGGTAGACAGCTCTTGGTTCATAAGAGTTTGTCCTATATGTCCCAATATTCTGAAGTGCACTCACTCCATGACTTATACTAACACTACATCTACACAAAATAACAACTAGTCAATGTACTTTAATAACTATGTACTATACAGCAACTATGTACCTGGATTCATATGTAAAATTATGTTTTTAATATTAATTATATCACACTAAGAACTACTTAGATTTGAAATCTTGAATTCCGTTCTCCATGTTTTGTGACTTTGACATGTTTGTTTAAAAATCCAAATTGGTTTCTGAGAGACACCCCTTTGTCAGTCAGTAACAAATCAGAGTTACTAACTCGAAATAATTTATCAGGTTCATATATTCATGTAAGCTTCATCTAATTAAGCCTCATTAATTGGAACGTTCCCTGACACATGTTCCCTGGCACATTAGTATTTCCTGACACATTTTTACATAGGTGAACATTAGACACTTCTATTTAATCTTTTCATTCAAAATTAATTCCATGGTACCTGGGTTCACAAATTTAATTAGCAGTTCCATGGCTCTGGAAAAGAGGGCCACACTTGTGGTTGTGTGGGAAAGACGGCGGCGGTCACGTTCATCATGCAGAGTTCAAAGGCAAAAGAAACTTTTGCCAAACACTTCTGTTTGCAAACCAAATTGTTCCAAACCAAAGTGCTCACCTCTGTATGTGTATAAGGTATAAACAGACTTGATAGTCTGCACTAAATGTAAACTCAGTGGTGCAGGCATTATGCCCCAAGAGCTTTCTAGGATGTACTCCTACATCAACGTAATGTTATTTAATTTAGTGTCCCTTCTTACTATGAAATAAGACAGGGAATGTGATGAAGAAATTAGTGTGGGGTCCGGGGTACAGGAGGCTAAGAGTGCACCCTGCTCCTCCTGACCTGCTCATTTCCCACACATACTTCTACTCTTCTGGGGAGAAACACTAAAAAGCAAGTTTCCCAAATGAGCACATACGCGAAAGAAAGCTTACAATCTGGACACAGTTCTGCTAGTGAGATGTAGGAATTCTAATAAACCAGAAATCCCTGAGGAGTGGGATCTCTCCCTGTAGGAAAGGAGTAAGAGGCAAGGAAAAGAGAACAGGTGGGCAAGGAAGACTGCAGAGACAAGGAGAGGAAAAGTGAACAAAATGAAAGAACAGGAGAGAAAAAAGAAGAAGAAAAGTAGAGAACAAAGACAAGATAAAAAAGACAGGGGTCAGGGATTTAGCTCAGCGGTTCAGGGTCTGCCTGGAAAGAGTGAGGTCCTGAGTTTGATTCCCGGTACCCACCCACCCACCCCCCAAAAAGGTCAAAAAGATGAAAGAGGAAGCAACAAAATAGGGTAAGTGCTAGCTGAAGGTGTGAACCTGAGTTTCCAAAGCTAACGGCAGAACCTTCGCTAGAACACCAGAGCTGCAAACAAACCCTGTGTGCACTCTTAAGGTGGAGGCCACGCTCCACGCTAGGACCTGCACTATCCTCCAGGACGAGGCGGTGTCCACTCAGCTCACCACCAGCTTACATATGAAGCACGTGGCAAACAGCAGTCAATGCATGCAGTCTGAAGGTTACAGTGGACTTCGTGGAGGAAAACAGATTGAGCCAGACATTAAAATAGGCAGGAGAGAGGTACAAATAGGTGCAGAGGCAACAGCATGGATGGAGACCTGGACGTGAGCCGGTGGATGCAGTAGAGGACCAAGAGATCAGTGCAGAAACACTGGCAGTCACTGCAGCAGGAAACAGGAGATGGGCCAACGTCATGCGGAGCTGAGGAGGTGCAACGCGTGAGCTGGGGGCCTTGCTGCAGCGTACAGGACTGGACACCCCAGGAACAGGTGCAAAACAGAAGAAAATATCAGCGGGTTTCCATCCATAGTGAAGTTTCTGTCTGGAAAATGGCAAAGAAGCTAGGACATGGACTGTGAACCTCCTAAAAAGGATCACGGCGTGACTACTGCAGGGTCTTGTGTGCTCCACTGCACTTGCGAAGTGTACGCACAGCTCGGATGGACACTGCATTGGAGTTGGGCGAGGCTCAATGGCCGGAGAGAGGGAGGCAGTGACGAAAGAGGCTGAGCAGCAGAGGAATGCACAGCCTCCAACTTTGAAAAGAACTTGAGGCTAAGATGGAAGATCACGGCCTGGACAAGGCCAAGCCCGCATGCGAGTTAACATAGTCTATGAAACAAACCTTGGAGCCTATTTCACAAACATCAATGGGATCGTTATCTCCGCAGCAGCCTGTGTTCCCATCTCTATAGTGAGGATCTTCCCAAGTCTAAAAAAAAAATTAAAAAAAGAAAAGATTCAGAAACGTAGGTTAATAGGCCCGGGAGTACATCTTAATCTTCCCACATGATCACCAAGTTTTATAGACGGCTAGAATCCAAGGAAAGATTCTCAAATAGCCACACGCAAGGCCCACCGCACCCACATGCCAGACCCACCCGAGCTCCCTGCTTATGCGGCGGATCTACAGTGCTTCCTCCTGCGGTCCCAGTTTGTCCCCCATCTTCCCATCCCACAGCAGAAGGTGTTTGCAGACAGACTCATCTTCCATCCGGACTCCTCAGGATCTACCCTGGCTGACGCTCAGGCTGCGCCATTCCCGCCTGGTTTCTGGGTGCCCACCCCAGCCTCGCCTACAATTGCTGCCCCATGTGACTTCCTCTGATGTGGATGGCTCAGGGGCCAAGATTTCAATGTTCATAAGTAGAAGTCCGAGTCTCTAAAGGGCATCTCCGAGCGGACACCGTTTTCCCTTCCTAGACTAGACATCGTACACCATGGAAAAGAACGTGTTTTTGCTTGCTTTGGTCTATTAAAAACATACACAAAACTATCTTTGTCATCAAATCTCAAGATCTGGACTGAAACATGTAAAGATGTTGACTGCTCAGTTTCTTAGCGAGACTGTCCCATCAGCTGCGAAAAGCATGATGTATAAGGAATAGCACAATCTAAGTTTGCAATCAGGTTTAAACATCCCTTAGGCCAGTGACTGTGAACCTGTCTGAGCTTTGAGTGCTACAAACAGCCCGCTGCGGCACACACGCTACTGGTGCTACCGATTCCAGAAGCTTCCTAAAGATATTTGCTGGAGATCTGCACTGTAATGGACACAAAACCTGCATCATCTCAAGACTCAGTTTCACTATTACCTTGCACTGTGGATTATCAAAGTTTACTATCTCTTAATTTTATATTAATTTCTGTAATTTTCTAAAGAACTAAGAATGGGCATTTATTTACAGCTAAACCTAGACGAACGCCAACACTTTCCTTCTAGTCTTACTTACAGGACAACTAGGAATGAACTCATCTAATTTTATTTTTTTTTTAAATAACAGGTTCAATAAGCTTTTGCTACCTCATACTAAGGCTACCAATAAAATATATGAGATCTTACTTGTGAACTATGCACACTGGCTATAGATGAGAGACACTTTCTAAGCAATGCACACACATTGTCACACACCCTAGGAGCACTCCACAGTAAAGATCCACAACAACAAACAAACAAAATCAGAGTGCGTGCTGAACACATCCACAACGAGGCCATAATTCGGCATCCTGTTGCCAGGTGGCCCCAGTCTAAGCCTGACTGTTCTCACCAGCTGGACGCACCAGTGTTCTGTGTATGTCTCTCCTACTGGGCAGTGTGAACCGCGACGCTCAGGGGATCCTGGATTATAACAGTGCAAAGAAAGACACTGATTTAGCAGCTCAGGAGTCGTCACACCACAGTTCCTTAAGGAAAACATTAAAACAGTACAAAAAATTGTAAGACAGCAGCTGTAAATGCGTATTATAAACACCTGTGATGGGGTGCTTGTGAGATTTCCACATTAAAATTTAGAGAATGGATAAACTACTAACCTGGGAAGAAACATCATGGGCACAAATTGCAGGAGAAACCCTTCACTTTATAAAAGCTGATTTAGAATTGGCAAGAAGTGTACCCAAGTGATGTAGAGACTATTGTCAAAAATTATCGGCCAAGTGGGGTGCCACTGTGGCCACAGAAAAAGCCAAACATGTCAAGGCATTTTGTGCACTCAGCACAGATCAGCCGCTTTTATGTACAAAATGTTTTAAAGAGATTCATGAATATAAATATTTTTTCTATTTTAATGAAATCAATGCATTTGTTAATTACTGTAATATTTTTATTGGTATGAACAGCATGAATTAATGTATTTTGGCAGTGAATATTCAAATTCAAGGGACTAACTATATTGGATAATTTGCAGACATTTTATTAAGTAAAAAAGTGTGCTTGGATGTTTGCAAGATGTGCACCTCCCCCAGACTCCAGTTTCAAAATTAGCTATCAATTTAGTTCTTGTTGTTGAAGTAATATGTGAACAAGTGCAACTTCTTCAGCTATATGACAACGGTTAATTTTAAGGTCATTTTTTTCAATGACTTCTGTACCAGCAAAAACACTAGACTGGTTCTTTTTTTTAAAAAATCCATATATTTGGTACAGGGTCTCACTATGCAACCCAGACTCCTAGTGATGCTCCAGCTTTCAGCCTCCCCAGCGCTGGGATTACAAGCCTGCATGACCATGCCTAGACTTGGCGGCCAGCTCTGTGTGCCCGGGGGCGGGGCCAGCGCGCATGTGGTGCCGGGATCGAAGCTGTCCCCGCGCTTGCTGGTGCTGACTACTTCTTGTAACTTCTACCTCTGACTTTAGTACTCTACATCTACAGGCTTTAGTGTTATTACAATAAGCGACACACACCAAGTGATTTCACATGTAACTTAAAAATAGAATAATTTCAACAGTAAATTGTAATCAACTTAAAACATTGAGAGCACGCCCTCTTGTGGAAGTTTAGGTGTTTAACTAGGCAAAGAAATAACTAGAAATTTATAGCATGAGGAGAAAGTTCAACATCCAAATATTTGTTTTAACAATAGCAGAAATAGCTTTTACAATTTAGGAGGAAAATGGGCAAGCCAGCGAAAATGGGCTGAATAAACAGATAACTCAAAGAAAAAGACAAATTTATAAAAGATATTGATTGGAGAAATACAAATTAAAAACTGAACACAACATTATTTCAACAATTTGCTTAAAAATCTGATAATCCCAAATACCAGAACCATATATGAATTGCTGGTAGAAGTGTAAATTGTTATAACTTATTCTAGCAAACAACTTAGGAATACGTAGTAAAACACGTAGTTGTGAGTTACATGTGTAACTCACAACTGGATTCCTAAGTGTGTACCAATACACACACAAAAAATTTAGCAAGGACTCAAGAAAGATATTAACAAAGAGTAAAACCCACCTATCAATAGAGAAATAAAGACAATAACTGATCAAAGGTATTATCATTGTTCAAATATTTTAACAAACTATTACAGTGAAAGACAAACTGCCATTATTCATCCTCAAAATCCTCCTCCTCACTATGAACAGTCATGCCATTGTCTTTGCCACTTTCTGAAGCAGTTCTCAAAATGCTCTCTCCTAAGTATCTTTATGAGATGTGAATCAAAAAATATGGTGAGTTGTGCTGCTGAGTAGCACTCAACATAAAGGCAGGGCTGTACAAGCCTGCCACTGGGTCCACATCCACTTTATTCACCGGATCTGGTTCTGTGTGACTTCTAGCTCTTCCCCACTCAAAAGGAGGATGAAAGAGACATTTGGAACCAGCGGAGGACACTGAGGCAGCAACCGGAGACACTCATGAAAAATGATGTCCAGATCTGCCTCAGGAAGTAGTAAGAACCAGGGCTGGCCAAATAGCTCAGTGGATTAAAGCGAGGATTTGTCCCCAGGCCTGCCTTGGCGGACCCACCCCTGGCCTCATCCCCACCTCCTCCCCTAACCCTGGGGTACACTTAGCAATTGAGACTGCGTGTGGAAGCATGTGCCTGTAATCCCAGCTCTTGGGAGGCTGTAAACAGGCGGATCACTGGGAGTCCAATCTAGTAGTGAGACCCTGAACACCCTGTCAACCTTTCTCTAAAACACACACACAAAAAAAACCAAAACAAAGTGGCAAGTACCACAGATAAGTGCTCAAAAATGGGGGGGGGGATGGGGGGATTTGCAGCAATGTGTCTTTTCTGGGATAATTTCTCTAAAAACTGTAAATGTCTACCATATTCCTGATCACTCCTAGTAAGAATCTGACTTACACTGGGCTGGTTCCACAAAAGCAGAGAGTTTGTTTTGCACAGACGCACCCTGAGAACTTTCAATAAGAAATGCTGAATGAATTTTAAATTAGCATAAATGAGAAAGCATGTCTCCATACAGAGGGCTGGCCAAGCAATGTCACTAAAGTGTGAGGGAGCGTTCTGAGAGGGGTTCACGAATGTGTCTTCTACATGTTTCTGAAAGACTTTTTGAAACATTCTCTTTATACTGCACAGTGTTATACTGATGGCTGTACATCCATGAAAATGAATAATTCTGAATCTGCACCTTATTGATCTAGCCGAAAACAGCTTGAAATAATTACCTTACAATCTGTAAATATGACTTAGCATGCTTGCAATTACCATGCTCTGGCCCTTGGGGCTCTTCGAAAATCGCTGATGATACAAAGCTGCCCACACATGGCGGTCTTAATGCCTTCCGGCTTCCCCAGGACTCTGGTCACCAAAGCCAAGGAAGTGAGAGAGCGGCTTGATTGTCACCTGCACTCACCCCTACTAAACACTTCACTGTGCAGCCCACGTCACCAACGACAGTGGGACTCCCAAGGACCCACTGTGAGCTGCGCTACGCTATGTTCTGACCTGGTTGTTACCCAGGGCACCTTCGGTGGAGGGGGGATGGCACCAGGGAGCCAACAGCCCTAGGAGAGTCAGTCGTCTGTCTCAAACTAATAAATGACACCACATAATATTCAAGGCCAATGAACCTAATTTATAATGAATACTTCAATATCACAGTAAGACTGAAGAAACCTCGAATCTCAAGTGAGTCAGCCCTTCAATACGAGCCAGACAGTCTGAATATTCACTCAGAGACATAACACTGCCTGACCTGTGACATGTGGATAATACGATGTTTACCCCAGCCAAACCTAAAACTTGGAGCAAGGCACTCTGGGAAAAGTTACTAGGACTCTGACAGCGAGGCATCTCCACAGCACAGCATGGGCTGCAGCTTTGTGGAGAGCTTCCCCTTGAACAGAATTCTGCTAAGTGCACTCCAAGCAGCTGGCCTGGTAACTGCTCTCAACAAATTTCTTCCCCTCCTTGACAAATCACAAGGGAGCTGTAAGATCTGATATCCACATGCGCCTCCAAACAAACACACACACACTGCATTTGTTCATTCATTCATTCATTCACTCACTCATTCATTCATTCAGAATCAAGTATTTATCAATCACCTGGGTGCCACACCCACGTTGGAGGAGACTAGGGCAGATCCATGCACAGAAGAAATGAATACCGGCTTTCAGAAGTCCGTGTTTCAGCCAGAAGACGATAAACATGATAACTAATGAAATTATCCATAGGTTACATTGGTAGGTGTGATATAAAGGGAAAAAACAAAGCACAGAAACAGCAACTTCAGGAAGCATGGTAAAACTTCTGGGCTTTTTTTTTTTTTTTTTTAATCTTTATTTATGTATTTGGTACAGAGTGTCACTATGCAGCTGGGACTCGAAGTGAAACTTCTATTTTCAGCTTCCCTGGTGTGCGGGGATTACAGGTATGCGCCTCTACACCTGGACTCTGTCACTGGCTCAGTGTGCTTGGGGGCAGGGTCGCATGGCATGTGGCGCTGGGGATCGAGCCCAGGTCCCTGTGCTTGCCTAAGCTGCTGCTTAGTCTTCTAGGCTATCTCGCTGGTCTTCTATTTGCTGATTTTAGACTATATATATATATATATATATATATATTTAAAAATCTTTTATTGACTTATTTGGCTCAGGGTCTCACTACACAGCTCAGACTCATAGTGATCCTTCTGTCTCAGCCTCCCCAGTGCTGGGATTACAGGTGGGCACCACCATGACTGGTTTCAGTAGCCAGCATGGCACGTCTTAGGTTCTGGGGGCAGATACGGCATGCAGTACTGGGGACTGAACCCAGGCCTTGTGCTTGCCAGGCAGATGCTTAGACTGCCAAAGTATATACCTAGCCCCAGGGTTTTTTTGTTTTGATTTTGTTTTTGTTTTTTGAGTCAGGTTCTTGCTCTGTAGCCCAGGCTGGCCTTGACTTGAGGCAATTCTCCTGCCTCAGCCTCTAGAGTGATGGAATTATAGGTATGTACCACCATACCTGGCTGGTCAAAGGTTTTAAAGGAACTTTGATGGATGCCATCATAAAGGTGACCTGGGGACAAGCACTTGAGGAGGTGAATGGGTACACCTGTGGGGAAGGGTAAATAAATCACTTGCTCAATCTGTGGTGTGCGTGTTTGCACATAAACATGCAAGGTCAACATGGATCTCAGAGACAGTAAAGAGCTCTTGTCCAGATATAAGCCCAGCCCCGTCCACCAACACCCAAGGCTGGGCTGTGTCTCTGCTCCGCACCGGGCTTCTCCGCTGCAGCCCCAGGCTGCTGCCCTTGGCTGCTCTTCCTCAAAATGCCTCAAATGCCTGGCTCCCTTCAGGTCCTCACCCCACACCCCTCACCGAGGCCTCCACCCCTTCTGGTCAGCAGCCCTGCCGCATGCTCGCTGTGGCCACTGCTGACCTCAGAAAACAGTTCCAGAGAGTTGTGACCTTTAACACTGCTCTCGCACCAGGAGTGAGAACAGGAACACACAGCATTGGAGGAAGGAAGGCAAGAATGGAGGGAATGGGTGCAGGGAAGGGAGAGGGGGGAGGAAGGGAGGGAGGGGGAGGGGGATGAGGGAAGAAAGGGGGAGGAGGAAGGGAGGAAGGGGCAGTGCTGTGCAGGCCTGAAGTCAGAACCCAGAAGATGGCATAGCAGAGAGTAAGGGCCAAGGAGGAATATGGCCAAAGGAGCAAGAAGTAGGCATGGGTCGATCATGTGGGGCTGGGGCCACAGAAGTTTGTTTTATCCTCCTAGTACTAGGAGGCCCTTGGAGTGCTTTTGTGCAGAAAAAAGATTACCAGATTATAATTCATGCTGCTTTTAAATCACCATACCCAGCTAGATATTTATTTTTAAAACCATCACTTTTGCCCTGGGTATGGTGGCACAGCCTATAATCCTAGCACTCAGGAGGCTGAGGCAGAAAGACTGTTGCAAGTCTGAGGCCAGTCTGGACTACAATAATGAGTTCAAGGCCAGCCTGGACTACGCAGTGAGACCCTGTCTCGAAAATAGTTAAGTAAATAAACAAATAAATAGAACACTGCTTTTGACATTAGATGAAATAATGAAATTTAGATTAGATTATGGAAACTGCAAAGTTAACCATGAATTAGGAGATTCTTGTCACATTCCCAGGTGCTATTAAAAGAGAAAAGCTACTACATCTAACAAGCTGAGAGCCCAACACACAGCACCTGGGAAACACAAATACATCCAGGGGAACAGGACACTACAGACGCTTCCTTCTCCTCCGCCTAATCTCTCACCCCTCATCAGCACATCGAATTCATCATTTTTCCACGGTGAAATGACAACTGGTTAAACAGTTAATGGTACGTACTATGCTACATAATGCCCATGACTTCATCATTAATCACCCCGATCAGGCTGTAGATAAACTGAGATGATCCTCTGCAGTGCTAACATCTACAGCCTGTGTGCAGGGCATGCACACACGACACAGCCCCTTTGAGACCCACGTCCCCGTTGCTTGTGATCCAGCTCTTACTGCTGCATGCTCCTAAGGCCGCATCTCATCTGTCCCTGCATGATGCACACCGCAGGCATGGCCTCGCTCACAAAGCCCCAAGGGACAGGGCCGGAAGTGCGCAGCGCGGGAACTGAAGCACAGCTGGGCTGCTCTGCCCAGCCTCGCATCCCCCACTCCCCACTCCTTTCTTCTCAGGATATCCCAAGCTCTGCAGATGTCTCCTTAGGCCCGGCGGGCCAGGGAACGGGCTTCCCCAGTTTCCAGGGACACAGCGGTTCCCATGCCCCATCCTCCTTGGCTTGAGCAAGACTGCAGTGGGTAGTGCAAGGCACTGCTTCCCTGGTTACGCAAAGCCAGACTCCCTCCCCCATTTCCTTAGGCAGTTCCCCAACAGCATCTTGGAATTTGATGTGAATTATTAAAATTCATCAGTAAAAATGTTCATTCTCTGGACAGACAGATGATCTAATGGATGTTATAAACACCAAAGCAAATGCTTCCTGATGTCACCAAACCCTAGACTTTGGATCCGACCTGGGAGATAGAGTTTTGCTCAGGAAAAAACCGGAAAGAGTCACTGCTTCCCTGGGGTGACAGCATGAAAGGGAAACAAAAGCCAGGCAGGAAGAAGGGCAAACGGAAGGCGAAAGCCCCAGCAGCGCCACTGCCTTACCACTGGTGTAGCCGTGATTATCCACATTTTTACTGTTTTCCACTTAAAAATTATGAAGTCATGACAGTGAATAATAAAATTAAAGTTATCTAAATCAGTTCGCAAGGAGCTTGGAAAACAGTTATTACTTAAAAGATCCATAGATCAGAGCTTTAAAAATGTATCATATATGAAGGTGAATGAAGGGATGACTGCGGAGAAACCTGCACAGTGCTCCACTGACCCACAAGCCGGGCCGAGAAGGACTGTGCTCAGAACGCCACCCGCGAGCGTCCCATGAGCCTGACGCGTGCGCCTGAGCACACACAAACATGCTGAGAAGCACGGTTTACTGATATGACAAAACTACACATTAAAGAATTTCAAATTTACAAATCTCCCAAACTGACATGTCCTTGGAACCAATTTAAATTCAGGTAGCTCACAGGATTTACAAGGCAATTTTTTCAGAAGACAGAAGAGTTTTACCACTGTAACCAAAATGTTACCTGAGGGAGGGCACCGTAGTTCCATATATAACCCTTGTGGGGGAAGACGTTGGCCACATAGCGGGGCTTGTCGCCCTTCATGTCCTGCTTAATGGGATTCAGGGGCTCCTCTGTGGCGATCTGAATGGGTCAGGGAGAGGGGAACAGTGAGAGGGGATGTGAGTGATTAATTCTACACCAAGTGGCATTTTTTACACCTGCCATTTTCAGACAAAATATTCATAGTCCAACTTAATGATCAAAGGTGCTTTAAAATAAATTAAGCCAGCCAGCTCTTATCACTAATTTATAGTACTGTGTCAGAAAAACTGCCTAGAAAGGAAACGTCTGGTTATCTATTTAGGTGCTGGATTATTTAGGAACTCATTACCTCTAACACAAATAATAAAATGATTGAAAAAGCAAGAAGATAAAGATTAATCAACTTGTTTTTGGATTTTCTTTTTATTTTTTATATTTAGTACAGGGTCTACAGAGTCTCACTACATAGATCAGACTCGTACTGATTCTCCAGTTTTCAGCTTCCCAAGTGCTGGGATTACAGGCGAGTGCCACCACGCCCCCTCGTTGTCTCAGTTTGCCCCAGGGGTGGGGTCAGCATGGCACACCGGAGATCACCGAGCTATCTGGCCAGTCCTTGTTTTTGGTTACTAATCTTGGATCTTTTATTACCAAGAATCTTTTATAATAAACTTGAAGATTTTCATCATATCCTCTGTGGTGAAAGACTGGAATCTTTCCTGTCAGAAGTGAAGCAAATGAAGGAGGTGCCCCCTCCCACCTACAGCAGAAGCCTGGGGCGGCCACATCAGCCCCACGGGAGAAACAGGAGGAGAGCAAGTGGGACAGAGAGAGATGAAATAGTAAGTTCGCTGATAACAGTGTCACACATGCCAAAACCCATAAAGACCACACACACACACACACACACACACACACACACACACACACACAGAATAAATAAATACAGGAAAGTTGCAGGATACAAAAGCAACACACAAAAATCAGTAGCATTTCTATACCCTAACAACAAACTACCTACCCAAGAAATCAAGAGAACAATTTCATTTACAAGAAAACTTTAAATACTCCAAATAAATTTAATCAAGGAAGAGAAAGGCTCACACACTGAAAACCAAAGTATTGATGAAAAAATTTAGAGACAGGAGTAAGCAGAAAGATATGCCACACTCACGTACAAGTGTGCATGCTATTCGGAGCTCTGGGAACCAAGCTCAACACCACCCATGTCAAAACTCAAAAGTCGTGTTTTAAATATGGATGTCCAAAAAATCAACCCTAAAGGTCAGACAGAAACACAAATAAGCCCTGACTAACCAAAGCAACAAAATGTGATTCCAAGCTAACTACAAGATAGGATGGGTCTGCGGAGGGATAGGCAGCACTGGCCAGAGAGGTAGAAGAAAAGCCCGGGGGTCAGGGAGATAGCTCAGTAGAATAAGTGCTTCCCTGGCAAGCACAAGGGCCTGAGTTCAATCCCCAGTTCCACCACCACCACCACCACCAGAAGAAGAAGAAGAAGAAGAAGAAGAAGGAGAAGGAGAAGGAGAAGGAGAAGGAGAAGGAGAAGGAGAAGGAGAAGGAGAAGGAGAAGGAGAAGGAGAAGGAGAAGGAGAAGAAGAAGAAGCAAAGCCCAGCACAGGCCAGCTGTGTGCGGGCAACCTGCAATGGGGTTGCCAATAATACACTGTGGGAAAAAACATTGCCTCCTCCATGAGCGGTACGGGGACAACTGGACCCCACTCCCGAGGAAGGAAGCCTGACCCTGGCACCTCACGTGAACACAAAGACCAACACAAAATGGATTAAAGATTTTAAAATGTAAAATCAAAAACCATTAAGCTATTATTCTTCATAAAAACAAAAGAAGAAAACTATATATCAGTTTGGGCAATGATTTTTTTTTTCTTGGCTGTGATCCTAAAAGCATAGGCAACAAAAGCAAAAACAGATAAATGGGATCACACAACAAATTAAGAAGCTCTGCACAGCCAAGCAAGCAATCAACAGAATGCAGAGATGACATACAGAATGGGAGAAATACCTACAATACACATATCTGACCAGGGGACAGTGCCACAACACATAAGGAGCTCCAAAAAGTCAACAGCAGAAAAACAACCTGATTTTAAAATACACAGTGGATCTAGACATTTCTTAAAAGATGGCATAACATAAATGGCTTAGAGCTATATGAAAAAATGATTCACAGGACCAGTGGTCAGCGAAATGCAGCTGAGAGCCCAATGAGCTGTGGCTTCGCCTCATGAGAGCAGCGCCTATCACAGGGCAGCGCTGACAAGGCTGGACCGAGGGAAGCCTTGCTCACCACGGGAGCAGTGTTGTCAGAGAGCCATTAGGTTCCTCGGAAACCTGAAACTGAGCTACCAAGTGCTCGGCAGCCTCAGGAATGGAGAACAGTGCCACAGTGAAGGGACGCCGGCACATTAGTGCAGCTCAGCCCTCCACTGACTGGTGAGGGGTAAGTAAACTGTGGGGGAGCGACACAACAGAGCACTACTTGGCCAGCAAAGGGACAAAATCATGTCACCTGCAACAGCATGGATGGAGCTGGGGATCCTTACGTCAAGCGAGATGAACAGGGCACCGCCCCAGCTCACTCACAAGTGGGGTCTCAAGTTGCTGGAGGGTGGAAAGGAGGTGGCATGGCTGGGGAGAAGGACCAGGGACAGAAGGAAAGCGGCCCGATGGGCATGAGGTGGCAGACAGGAGATGTCTGATGTGCTACTGCACGGCACGCATCATGCACTGAGAAAGCCAGGGGAAAGGACTGGGAAGCTGGCGTCCTAAAGAAATCAGATATGGGAGGAGACACACGTTTTTGTGATTTCAGCATTCCAAATGTGGAGAAGGTGTCAAATAGCACACAGTACGCTATGACTACGTGCAATGTTAGAAGTGTATGTCTCAGTTAAACTCAATTTAATTTAAATTTTTTTAAAAAGATGCAGAGTGTAATGGTGGTTACTGGTCTGAGGGACTGAAAGTAACAGGGAATTTGTCGTCAAAAAGTACAAAATCTGTGACAGGAGGACATAGTCTGGTCTTGTCTGCTTTTATTTTTTAAAACAAGGTCTCACTATGCAGTTCAGGCCAGCCTTGACCTTTCTATGGAGCCAAGGCTGGCCCTGAACTCACAGCGATCCTCCTGCCTCAGCATCCCAAGCACTGGGATGACAGGCCTGTGCCACACCTGGCTGTTTTTGTTTTTGAGATCAATTGCATTAGGGAACACAGTAAATCACAATATCATCTCAACTCCTTAAATTTATATAAGTTGTCTTTTTGCAATAAAATTTTTTCTAAATCATTTTAAAAAACCCATATTCTTACCAAGTAATTTTATTCAAAGTTCTTTTTCTATCAAACATATCCACATTGACATTCAAACAGGGGAAAAAATAATCTGTGGTTTAAAACAAACGAAAACTGCCCCACTTACCACAGATCAGACTCAGACCTGTGGCTCTGCACTTGGCTCAGGCTGCCAGAGGCCAAAGAGTGAAACACGGCAACTTATCAAGAGAACCATCTAATGCCTGAAACTTCCACTAAAACATTAGCAAAAATACTACCAGGATCTAGCAAAATTCCCAGTAGTGTCCCATATATATTGTGAAAATCAAACACCTACACAATAATGCCTTGTTTACACATCCAAAGTAAGACTTAAATTCTACAGAAGGCTTAAATACTACACCAACTAATGGCCACATAACCATAACGGAACTTCTCTAAATGAAGACTGAACCATCAGACATGGGAAAAAGTTGTCCTTGAGAGGTTCATGTTTCAGGGAAAAGCTTAATTTATTTTGAAAATCTAACGAGGGGAAAAGCATGGGGTGCTGGGGAGATGGCTCAGTGGAATAAGCACTTCCCTGGAAAGTGCAAGTGCCTGAGTTCAATCCCTAGTTCTGCCAAAAAAGACAAAACAAACAAACAAACAAACAAACAAAAAAGCAGAAATTCTTTGTGTTCAGAAATTAAATTAGGAATATGGTTTTATTTCAGGTAGAATAAAATCCCAGGGATTAAGTCCTCAGAAATCAAAACTGCCCTCGGTCTCAAATAAACACTTGTATCTATGAACCAAATATACTTCAGAATCTTTTAGCAAATCGTGAAAATATCTGCTACCTTGTCGAACAAAGAGCAGACTCTGAAAATTAAATAACAATGTGTACAATAAACCAGACAGACGAAACTGAAAAGCACTCTTTTGAAATTAAAGTTTACAAGATTATTTTTCAATTATTTTCATTATAAAGACATCTATCAACCCCCTGTAATGCAAAAGAGAAACAATGCTATTGTGTCACTGTTGCGTTAGCGTTTCGACTTTACATTAATAGAAAACGTGCGTACATTAATAGAAAACGTGCATACCTCCATCTTAGCATTGGTCCACCGAGGCACTTCTACAACCATATGAAACAAATTCTGTGGTCAGAGGAGAGAAAACATAAGCAAGTTTACCTATCTTTTATTTATGCACTTGGGATTGGAGAAACTTATGTTCAGTCATCAGAAGTATACTTTGAGGCTTTCTTTGAGACATGGTTGGTGTCTAGAACATACCTCTCGCTCTTCCTTAAATTTCTTCTAAAAATTAAAGAAGTTGTCTAAAACATAGGAGAACTGAAGCCAGCCTGTCCCCTGATGACTGTCCAGTATATCAGAGGTACCTTCAGGAGTGGGGTGGGAAATGTGTTTTGTTTTGTTTAGTTCTGTTTTGTTTTTTGTCCCTTTGAGACAGGCTCTCGCTGCAATTCAGGCTGGCCTTGAACTCACTTTGTAGCCCAGGCTGGCCTTGAACTCATGGCCATCCTCCTGCCTCAGCCTCCCAAGTACTGGGAGGGAAATGTGTTCTGATGTTCATCTCTAGTCTGACAGAGGGAGCAGGGACTGGGTCCCTTAGCCAAGCATTCATCTCTGCTCTCCATGGAAAGAAGAAGTACCAACTCTGTCCCACTCCCACAAGGTTGCTAAGATCTGCTCAATAACCTAGAGGAAAATGCTCAGAAAATTATGAAGTGAAATATTCTGAAAATTATTTTTAAAAAATGGCATCCAAGCTGCAATGAGCAGGTGAGGCAAAGGCCCTCTCTCATTAGAGGAAACATGAGGGTCGCACACAGCAGGATGAGCCTTTCCACCACAGTGGGCAAAGCTGTGGACATCAGATTCCCCATGGAGCAAAGAGGCCCTCGCTCCTTTTTCCCATGTATGAATTTGGGGAAAGCTCTCCTCAAAGGAGAACCCAGGTCAATAGTAAATAACAATAATTTCCCATAGATTACAAGGAGGACTCCAGCTGAAAGACAACTTGCCTGCAGTGACGTCAGTAACAAGCCTTCTCCAAGAGAAGCAACGATTGGCAGTTGCCCCTTGGAGCATGGCCAGGCTGCACAGTGCCTGCATTTTATAATCCGATAATTACAATCTGAATTATACTTTACTAGCTATTCATTTTGATTGTATTCTGTAAAACTGTATCAGTTCACAGCAGATAGAAATAAACCTGAGACCACAACATTAAGTGAAATAAATCAGACACACAATGCTAAACATCACAAAGGTTTCTCTTACATGAGAAACCCAAAGTATAAAGAGCAAACTATGAGATAGATAACAGGAAGCAGAGAGAGACATCCTTCTCAGAGGAAGGGGACCAAAAGATGGGGGGGGGGCAGAGAAGAGATGAGAAGGGAAGATGTGCGATGCCCACACACCCATCTCACACAGGTATAAGCATTATGTATGGCAAACATACACTGATTTAAACAAAAAAACTGAGTCCTCTTCCACAAATATTTGTGTGTGTGTGTGTGTGTGTGTGTGTGTGTGTGTGTGTGTGTAGGGTCTCACTGCACAGCTTGGACTCATAGTGATTCTCCTGTTTTCAGCCTCCCCAGTGCTGGGATTACAGGCGTGCACTACCATGCTGGGACTCTGTCTCCAGCTCAGCGTACCCAGGGGCAGGTCAGCGCAGCCTGTGCTGCTGGGAATCAAGCCCCTGCACTTGCTTAAGCAGGCACTTAGTCTACTGAGCTATCTCACAGGTCCTTCCAAAGATTATTTGAGAAGTAATTTAATCTAATTCCTTCAATCATGCCACCCATTAAAATCTCCTGGGAATCTTTACTCAATTAGACAAAAAAGATTATTGGATGCCCACCACCCACCAACTCATTGGGGCATTGCTAATTAATAAAAACTCTTCAAGTTTTCATGTGCAGCCAGATTAGTGTTCTTTGAGCCTGGCTAAACACTATCTTTGTTGATTTTTTTTTTTTTAATTGTATTTGGTGCAGGATCTCACTACACAGCTCAGACTTCTAGTGATCCTGCTGTTTTCAGCCTTCCCAATGCTGAGATTACAGGCACACACCACCGCGCTGTGTCTCAGTGGCCCGTACTCCATGCCTGGGGGTGAGGCCAGAGCAGCATGTAGTGCCGGGGATTGAACCCCAGTCTCTGCGCTTGCCTAAGCAGGCAGTTAGTCCCCTGAGCTATCTCACTGGCACGAATCTTTGCAGATTCTTTGTGAAATGCAAGTGTGCTAATTCAAAGAACATCATTTGCACAATAAATAAAATATACAGTGAGCCACACAAGTCATGGGGTTTTCACTGTGCTTCTCTAGGTAAAATAAATGTCTGCACACCCACCCACAAGAAAGAATCCCAGCCACTGCCCCGTGGATGCGGCCCCTGCTGGCCCAGCTGCAGTGGCTGTCCTGTCCTTTCCTATGCTCTTTCCTGATGGGCCACACCTGCTCACATGCATCTGAAGATGCTGCTAAAAAGAACCGAAGTGAATGGCAGATGTTCACATAATACATTCAGCCCTGAAAGCCTACCTACACAGGGAAAAGTGCACATGGCCCGGTATGAGGAGGTGACAGAGGACCATGCTAGCAACAACTGTGTCATTGTACAGCTACCAGAAGGCTCTCCTAGAAACCTGAATTAGGCCACAGAACAACAGGGGAGGAGTGGGGTTGAGTGGGAGCCCACATACCGCTGCCCCCACTAATGGCTCGTTTCTAGCCTACTTTCTTCTCTCAGCTCCTCCATTTGCCCTGTAATTTCTTTAAAACCAGTGTTAGCCCAGCTCCCTAAGAGGAATGCCAATTATAAACCAACAATGGCCTCCAGCATTTATTTTTTAAAAAATCAAAGAGGCAAAAGTGAACACAAGTCAAATCAGAAAGCTGTGTATGTGCATGGAACAGCGACTTCTCCTTTCAGTCCTTGGCTTCTCTCCTTTTTCCTCTCCTGTATTTTCCTCACAGAAGTAAGAAAAATAAAATATATAAAAAGTAAATGCCAAGTTTTATGTATTTCAGAAAAGACAGAAAGAAATCACACTTCTGCCTCTCCAACTCTTTAATTTTTTTGAAACAGGAATCTTGCTATGCAGTTCAGGCTGGCCTTAAGCTCACTTTGTAGTTCAGGCTGGTCTCAAACTCACAATGATCCTCCTGCCTCAACCTTCCCAATGCTGGGATTACAGGCGTGTGCACCACATCCAGCTAAGTTTTCAACTATACACAAAGCAATTTTACTCTGCCTTACCCATGGTGTTTAAGAAATACATTTAATTTGATGATCTGAATTCAGAATAAACTTGTCCCACTGCAACAACAGATTCAGACTAATACACTAAGATTCAAATGCTGAGTCCCTAGGAACCATAGAGGCTGGAGTCCCTCTCGGGGGCACTTGGTATCTCAGCCACTAGCTCTTGACCCTTGTGGCTCAAGGAGCCATGCAGATTAACCCAGCCCCACCCACTGAGGAGAGATTCAGTCAGCAGACAAGGGATAGAGCCAGGAGTCTGAATTTCTCACAAGCGCTCCGGGTGGTGCCAGTCTAGATGTTTCAAGGACTATCTGATAAACAGACTTGGGCAAACAGAAGGATGACAATCCAATGGTGTAGGGATTATACACCCCCCATGGCCATGTGTAGAAGTGGATTTAAAAGACTGCCATCAAAAAGCTCTGCTGGGAGGGGCCGGGGAGATGGCTCAGTGGAATAAGCACTTCCCTGGGAAGTGCAAGGGCCTGAATTCAATCCCCAGTTCCATAAAGAAAAAAAAAAAAAAAAAAAAAAAAAGCTCTGCTGGGCAGAGAACAGATGGAAATAAGGCTGGAAAGGGCAGAGTAGAAGGAAAACTGTGTGAGCTGAAGGGATCCCAAGCAACAGTTGTGGAGTGTCAACGATGCGTGTGGGCCTGTGTGAGTAACTCCAGCTGCTGGCAGGTCCGACAGTCACGGAATTCAGTGGCATATCTAGAATATACTTTAGCCTAGAATATACTTTATCGTACAGCTGGTATGCAAGTGCTCTTCTCTCCTTCTGAAAACTACTTTTCCTTGGTGCCAAAACTCTCTCAAACGTATGCACAGTTACAGTTTTTAAAAATAGGCAAACTGACCAATTTTCATAAATATTTCCATTAGACTATTGACCATGATTAATAATTTGCCATTAATATCTGGGTTCTTGTTTCGATATTCTCTAGTTGTTCACTTGAAAAGCGAAATGGCAATAAGGTGCAAAGGACAATCAAATTCAGAGACAGAGGGACAAGGTCACCAGGAGCCAGAGGCCAGGGGAGTGACTAGGGGATGGGACCAGAGGTTCAGTTCCGGGTAATAAAATGTGCAGGAGGTAGATTGTGGTGACTGCGGCAACTCAGTGTTCAAGTGCCCAGTGCCGCTGAACTGTACACTTTACCAATGGTAAACTGGCGAGTTGTACAGTGTGAATATTTTATAATAAAAAACATTAATAGTAGTATCAGGTCTGCACGTCTTATAGAGAGCCTAGAGGAGCACTGTCAAAATGCACATGGTCGGGCTGGGGAGATGGCGCAGCCGGCTAAGCTCCTGCCTGGCAAGCACAAGGACACAGGTTCAATCCCTGGTACCACACACCATGCTGGCCCTGGAACCCCAGGTGAGCGCTGTGCCTGCCACTGCAGCTGGGTGTGGTGACACGCCTGTAACCCCAGCACTGGGGAGGCTGAGACAGGAGGATCACTACGAGTCCAAGCTGTACCAAATTAATAAATGAATGATTTTTTAAAATGCACATGACTGTCTTACAGGGGAAGATATTTAGGAGCAGTTCACACAGGTGCATGGTCATCAAGGGCTTCCACAGATGGTGTAGAAGTGACTCTGCAGATAAAAGCACCTAGACATACCTCATCGCCTTCACTCCTTGCTTTCTTGGTAGGAATGCCCCTGTCCTGGAAGAGAAAAGGACGGCAGCTGTGATCGGCATGCTTCACAGGCGACAATTAACATGCTGCACAGCAATAACTTGGTCCCTGATGGGCAAAGGCTCCACCTCAGAGGCTGCCTGCAGCTCAGACTCCACGGAACACCTGGTGTTCCCAAGAACATAGCACCAGGCTGTTCTATAAAATACATGACCAGAAAAGCTAATGCTCTTTCACGTACTGTATATCTTCCAAGATTTTATAAAACAAGTAAAGGCTCTGTTCGGTCTTCAAGGAAGGACTGGCAGTTTCCCATGATTATGGTTAAAACCCTGGTTTCATTATTGCAGTGCGACTCCAGGGAGCAGGGCTGACAAGCCGCGAACTTGTCAGGCCCCTCCCGCCTTGAATTCCACCAGAGTGATGACTATGCTGCTTCTAAGCTTTTCTGAACTCAACCTGACTACCACGGGCTGGGAGAAAAGCCACACCATTCACAAATGCTTGTCCACTGCGGGGGACACACATACACCGAAATGACTACTAATGAAGGAAACAAAGTAAGCAGAAAAATAACCAGCCTGAGTCAGCCCTGAAACTATTTCTTTCCCCAAACTCTAAATCCCAAAGCACAGGGTGCCAACATTCCAAGCATCACTGGCTAAAAAGTAGGGGACCCTGCCTACATAGCCACCATCTGTACCAATCGGCATTCCCAGAAATCACCACCACCTCCTATCTCAACCTGTTCTGACCCAGTTTCCATTTTGACCCAGATCCTCCCTCCACTGACCCAGTGTTATGCTCCTGATGTTGTTTTCTTCTTTCTTCCCTCCCTCCCTCCCTCTCTCTCTTCTCTCTCCCCCTTCCCCTTTGGAGTTAATAGAAATTGATGTCAGGGTTTCCACATAAGAACCATCCCCAGCGCCTCACTCACTGTAAGACAGGCCTCTGTCAGTGACCAGGTTGTGCTGGAACTTGCAATCCCCCTGCCTCAGCCTCCTAGGTTACCGGCACTGCAGCATGTGCCACTATGCCTGGCTGCACTGACCCATCCCTCTCTTCCTCCTTGTTCCACCTCTGCACCTATCTACTACACCACTCTCAAAACCAAAGTGTGAATCCTGTGCCTGTTACGAGGCACACAGGCCTTGTCATGCCGCCCCTCAAATACGCTCTGCCCTACAGTTCCCCTTATAACAGCAGCTGGACCGACTGGCTGCACGACTGTCTGCTCCCACTGTCCAAGAACGAGGTCTGTCTCAATCACCACTGCACACTTGGGGCCTGCAGCAGAGTCCAGCTCACCACAAACATGCGAGAGGGTGATTTCCTGAATGGGCGAACACTAAAGCAAACAAAGGTATGCCGGTGTTGGCCAACTGAGAGGGGGGAGATAATGAGGTTTGATGGTTCATTGGCTGAAACAAAACTCAAAGAGAACTACATAGTAACCCTGAGTGACTTCTGCCCTCCTGACTCCTTGTCTCTCCTTATTCAAGGACCCACATCCTATAGCAGACACTTAATGAACGAGAGAAGGAAGACTGCAAACTCTGGAGGCCCAGCCCTACTTACCACCCCACCCCAATAGTGTAGATTGGTGACCACAGCAAGAGTGTGGCTGCTTACAACAGCAAGCACAGAGA